TTCTGCTTGAACGCCCAAAAGTCCAGCTCTAAGAATTCTGCTTGAGACATGCCAAGAAGCAGCTCCGTCCTACTTCCAAGGAAGTTCTCTTGATGGAGATATGATTGTCAAGAAACTTTCGGGTGCGAGAGGGCAGCCCGATATTGTTACAGGAATTTTCAATCTTATGTGAGGGCTTCCTGAGCTCACCTGGAGTAATTGTGGGGCACTCGCAGTAGAAGTTGCCGCTGACTCCATCGACGCTCGGCAAGCACTTCATCTTGCACGCGCAGTCCACGTCCTTGTCAGGGGGCGTCGGGTTGCCGTTGCTATCCGTCGGGGGGCACTTGCCGCAGAAGAAGCTCCCCGGCGCCTTGCATGTCGCGGGGCCCTTTAGGTAGTTGAAGTTACACGGGCCTGCAAGTAAGGCGTCGTCGCAGATTATGCAGTCGAAGGGGCCGATCTCCTGCCCAGCTGCCAGCTGTACCAGACAGCTGGCGGCGGCCAAAATCAGCAGGAGCCGTGTGCGCGGAGAGCTGAGGACGACGTTGAAGGGAGCCATTTTGGAGCTGCGCTTTCACTGCGCCGCTTTCGAGGCTGAGCTGGGAAAGTTAGCCGAAGGTGAAAATCAGATTGTGAGAGAATGACGATATACTCATCAATGAAATGGGTTGTAGCCCCCCTAGTGCTATGAAGTCCAAAGGCTCGAGATGAGGGCCCTGCTTTCTTGCTGGGTTGTGTTTTCGCCGATCAGGCACATCGACCATTGCGCTGCTGTGCAACTTCGCAAGCATCCGAGACTCGAGTGCCAGCCCGTTTGATTCTGCCAATCAGGCATGTCGGCACGTTATCCAGAAGAGTTGAAGTGATGTTGTAACTTGCACGGCGCTCCAAAGAAGATAGGACAGCAGAGCATGAACGTTCGGGCCGCAGTCATTCAGCCGGACCGAGGTTTCCGTGAGCGGTCGAAGCCCATCGCTCACGACTCACGAGTGCTCCGGCGCATCACTCGGCGCTCGGGCTCTGAAGACAATTAATTCAGATATTTGGACGGGAATGCCAAGTCTTCGCCAAATGGCGTCTGTTACCAACACTGGGTGGGGAAGCGCCCCTGAATCAGAATCAGGCTTCAGCCTCGCCTTGCAATCATGCAGCTATCTCGGAGTCCGACCTCAATAATGCACCCGCAAAACGGTTTCCGCTTGGTTTTGCAATTTGCCAGGTCCAACTATTATCGAAAGCTTCGAAAAGTGACACACTACCTAGTTTCCAGCGAAAGGTCCAGCTGAAGAGCATGCACAAGAAGGTTTCGCTCTCAACCATACAATATACGGTACCTGGTTTAATCAGACGCAAGTTACCAGTTCCTGACCAGCTTCCTCTGGTAGAAGGGCATGTATAAACCCCTGGCTTGATTGACGGTACTTTTCCCCCTGTGGCAGCCATTGAATAGCTACCTAGGCATTGTGCAGGGGCATGGCAGACTCATGGGGCGCTCTAGTGGGCTGGTCGTGAAGGAATAAGCAGCTTCCGCATTCGTCCACTGGAAGGGGGAGAGCTTGACTACTTAGTCAAACTAGGAGTATCCATTTGATTGTACTGCTCGATCAAATGGTACTTTCAGATTGCTAGGTCAAGCTCATGACTTGAAGCGTGGTTCCAAATCTCTGTGGACAATCACTGCAGAAGAGATTCTACTGCAGCTGGCTAGTGGCTTCGGCATGAATCAGGCAGCATACAGGTAAACCCATTGGCAGTATTTCATCAATATTGTACTTCTACAAGTTTCTGCCCTGATGTAGTTAAAGATGACCTGTGAATGGGCTTTCTCACCCAATTAGCAGGTGTTGACAGACCTATTAGCAGAAAAGCTCAGACAAAAAGTATGATTGATGACTAGCTGCACAATGTGGCTGAGGTGGCAGCTTTGATGTCATAAGGTTTATGTATCAGAAGCATACGTCTCAAGCACTTGTCTTCCGTGCAACGCATTCTTTAGTGACATGGTTTGTACCTTTCTAGGTTGCCGTGAGCTCGCCCTCAGGTTGCAATACTGGTTGGAAAAGCTCCATTGTCAGCTAAAAGAATTTTGCACCGCGCGCGCGCCACGCTGGGCATGCGTCATCTGCTCTCCAAGAGATGCTGATCTCAGCTGAATGGCCCCTGACTGACCTGTGCGATATGGGTCCAACCTGGTCCTGTGTCCTCTTCATTATTTACCCCAAGTCTTAATTGACCTTGTCCAGAGCCCATTGAAATTCACTTTCTCGGGCCCGTTAATTACACAGTCAACATGTTGCAGCGCCAGTCTGCGATGCATTAGGTGCGAAAGTTCCGGGCTTTGACGATACACGGAACCCCAGGCCTTTTCAGGACGGATCGAACACTTCGTCGAGATCAACATGTTGTCCCTGTGTTTAAGGGGTCCGAGTTTGGGCCTAGGACGTTTGTGAACATGATGGCACCTTTCAGCATCATCTTGGCCACTCCTTCACAGCTGTCACTGATATCCTGTCTTGCAGGCACATCCTGGTCTTTTCCCATGCCGTCATCAATCTGATGCACACTTACACCAGGCCGACCTGGACACGGCTACCTAGCACCTGCTTGCCGTTGGCCGCAAAGACACACAGGAATTATAGGCTCGATGCGCACGGAGCGCGAGCAAGAGCGTGCACGAGGCAATGACTCTGCCTTTCCTTGTCGTGGCTCTCTTTTTCAGCGTTCTGGACAAGGTGAGTACTTCTTCTTTTTCCTGTCCAAGATCACTCAGCTGCACTATAACGCGGAGTGATTGGACAGACGGCTTCTACAATTTCAAATCGATGACCCTTGTTCCAGAGCCAGTTTTCATTGGGGGGGTCACGGAGAACTTGTCTGCCCAAAGTGTTGCCGCTCGACATTAGCAGAACCTTTGAAAGACTTCAAGACTGCAATTGTTTGAGTAGCTAATTCATCTCAGGCAACGCCCAGAACATAGGACGTGCATCAACTTGCCCCCCTTTCAGGCGCCAATTGGATCTGCTCCAGATAAGCAACAAAGATTACAACAGTTTGACACAACAAAGGCTCCGAATATGCTTCGAGGGACTAAGTGACGCCCAATTGACACGTGCCTTTTGGTCGTCAAATATGCTTCAGGTCCAATCTGGTGTTCTCATGGTGACACTTTGGAGACTGTTGGGCGGATAACATTATAACAGTTTGGTACGGGCATGGGTGGTGCCTTTTAGGCGCCAATCTGTTGGGGAGTTTGTGATGTGTTGCTGCACTCCTGAGCGCCGAGCGGCAGTCTGTGTCCGCCTTCGCCATCATGAAGAGTTTGCCAAAATTGAGTTTGCGCAAAAAGAAGTTCCAGAAGCGTGTCCTTCCTGTTCCTCTCACCTTCCTAGGATGCTGCAGACATGTCCTGCGTAAGGGCGGCCGGTGCAAAGCGGCTCACACTAGTTCTCCAGGCGGTGACTTCCATTTGAAGCAAGTAAGACGAAGCGAGTCCACTTTAGAGAAAGAGAAAACCTTTAAGGGGCTTTCCGGAATCTGCTTCTTGCTGCCGTGCTTTTGAAGTTCTGAGTATCGGATGCTGATGCGGCTCGAAGTTTCATAAAGCATGACGTTTGTGCTGGCCGTCCCTTGAACACGGACACGAAGGAAAGGAAACAGAGCCGTTGCCCCGTCGCGTACCCAAGAATCAGAGGTTGATGCGAAATTTGGCCTGTCAACACTTTAGTTAGGAGACGACATCCGCGGTTGGCAAGAATCGAATCTGCTCTCGTGGCGCTTCATTGGGAACTGGACAGCCCACATACTTTCCTGGTCCCCCTTTCCTTCGACGCTTGTACAACTTCTGTACAAGAAACAAGGAAACCATGTGATTCTGACGGTCGCCAAGTGATTCTCACGGTCGCCTTTATGACAACCTTCAGAACAAGGCGCTTTTGCATTTAACCTGATTCTGCTTTGCAACGCCTCCCAAATCAACCAAACCCTCCTCCATGAATCAAGTCGCTTCTGATTTGGCTTTGCAGCCCACTCAGAGGCAAAGGTTTGCATTGCCGCTCCGTAAGCAGCCGTTCTCTCCGGAGGCCTGTCAAGTAGCTGACCCACAGAAAGGGCCCCTTTCATCCACGATGTGCGACCCTGTTTCGTCGCTTTTTTGAGCAAGTGCCACGCCATTTTAAGTCATAAAACGGGGGTGATGTTGTCGTTGAGCGCCTTTGTAAATTTGCAGGGTTATGGACGCCAGCGGTAGGAAGTGTTCTCTGGCGGGCCGACCGGGTGAAACTCAAGAAAAAACATGGTAAGCCGAGATAGTAATAAGGTAAGCGCACTGGGACGGGTAGGATTAATTTGGTGGTTAGGGTGGGTACGGATGCGGAGCAGGTATTTCTTGGGTCAGGGTTTTTACTTTTAGTCGGAGCTTGTGATTATCTTGGCCTACTACTATTTCTCTTGACAATTATGCCGATCGGGTTAGCCTCGAATGATGGCGGATCAATGGAGGTGACCAGCAAAAGGTCTGTACGCGGCCCCATGGCACATGAGTTGTGGTACTTATTCGATAAAGGATTTTCGAGACATCTTGTATGGGCCGCGCTTCAGACCACTTGGAGCTAAGGAAGGGCGAGAACGATAGAGAATGATAGTAGTTTATGGGATCAGATCCACGTGTGTTGATGTGATCAAGAATAGAAGGATACCCGTTGTTGCGTTAAGCCAGATGCTATTTTCTGACTAATCTCGTCGGCGAGCCCTAAGGAACGAAGTACGTTGCTATAATAGTGACGGGCGGAGAGAAAAGATTTGGACGCACATGTGGAACGGTGCAGTGGACGCATATGTTCAACGGTATACTATAATTGACGCATACGTTGAACAGCTGGAAAACAAAAGCTCAAAGGATCCGCTTTTTGTGACATATGACTAGGTGACGCGGACCGGTTTCGGGACCGAAGCGCAGAGAAGCCAAAGTCTACTTGCGTGGGCCCTTTGGATCCGGTCCCGCATGCCGGCATACTATATTGTTTACTACGTATGCTAGCCGGAAGACCGTCACTCTGGACAACGTATCATTTGGGCGCGCGCCATGTCCAGTAGCTAAATCAAGTCAAAAGCGGCGAGTACGTTGTGCCCCGTCACGGCTTACCATGCCGCTTGCGCGTGAGATATATACTCCGACTCACTCGTTGAATCCCAGCGTCCCGGTCCACGAGACGATTTTATCGCATCCTTGCGGGCGCGTCGATCAGTGTGGGCCACTGCAACTTTTCGCCTCTAGCTCGTATTCGGCCCAGCTAGCTAGGTTAACATAGCTCCGACTGTGCGCGCAGCCCGGCCTGGGTTCATAAATCGCTCGCGGTGCAGCGGGTCTCGAGCATTGGAGCCCATTAGAGGCGTTCTATGCGATGGCAGCTGGCCACTTATGTACTAGATCGGACCATATGATTGAACACAAGAATCTATGCATCAATTATGTCTCTTGCATGCTTGCATCTGGCAAGCTGAAATTTATAAACCTAATTAAGCATCATGTTTGCCATACCGGCAACCTGGCCGCAACGCAATGATATCGGGACTACATGAAACTAAGTTGAAACTTCGATGTAAATGTAACTGCAATCGGATTGCCGTGGCCGGATCAAACTCACTACGTTCAAGTTGTGCAATAGCCTTATAACATGGCACTTCAAATGCAGTGCAGTGTTAAGGTTCAAGTAATTTCTTTAGCCTAGTCGGACTTGCAATTATGATATGACAAAATCTCTCAATGTGTACTACGGTAGTGTTCTATCAAAAGTACACAGTGAGCAACTAGCTTTGACTACTGACGGTGCATTGATTGGTATGAGTCGAAGTTTGTCTGCAGACGGCCTTCCGCTGCGAGCAACAATGGAAAACAGCTTCTACAATGACTATTTCCAACGCTTCTCAATTCAAGACGGACACCGACGGCCCACTTGATTATGTCCTTCGAGGTTTGATTCAGAACGCAAACATGTCGTGCATGTGTTTGCTAGTATATGAGTCCCTAGCTACAGTAAGAGCGCCTTATGGACCCTGAATTGATAATGCTTTAGAGCCGAAAGCACTAGACAACCTATGTTACATACGCATGCAATTATGGCAGTTTGCCGCAGGTGCTCACCCACTGCGCGGCTGATAAACTTGAGGCCCCTTGGCAGCTCCAAAGAGCACTCCTTACACGACAGCTCCAGAGACATAAGAGGACGGCCAGGACCTATCTGAGGAGGCCCATTTAACTAGCCCATATGCTTAATAAAGCAATGTCTGACTAGCTGTGCGATCCTACTCCACAAACCCTGGCCCACCACGTTGTGCGAACGAAGCAGCTCCTTCTAGAACTTGCTATATACCTAGACAAACGCTGAGCCGCTTGCTCCCAATCCGCTCACCCCGGCTCACGGTTCAAATCGATTTGCGGATCGTGTGTTGGCGGATGCTCTCCTGGAGGACAGAGAGACAATGACAAGGACGGAGAACCCAACGAGGCAGTTTCGGTTAATGCTTGCGATGCATTAGTGTCGGGAACCGCGTCCCGCGTCTTTGCAGGCGACCAAGACACGGGGAATGGAGGCGCAAGGGTCGCCCCGACCGTTACACCACCCGCCGCAACAAACTCTATCGATCCCCGCTTAGCGGCCGGAACGAACTCCCCAAAGGCTGGCAGGTTCAGATCCAGGCTGTGGGGCCTTTTCACCCCACCCCCGCCGTTGCTGACGAACGAACTAGGGGCGGCGGAAACCTGCGCTTCCGACCGCGCAGGCGCACTGGGCGCACGGCTGATGCCCGAGACTTGGGGGCCCGCAGAGAGCGGCCACGTGGCAGCGCCCCCGAGCTGCCACGTGGCCGGACCTTCCTGGTGGAAAACGTCCATCAGCTCGAGGAAATCGTCGCCCGTCATTTTCTCCACGGGTTTCCGCCGCTCGAGCGATCGCAGACGCTTCAAGAAAAGGCGCTCTTTGGCGGCAATCCCTTGCACCTGGGCGCGCCGCACGGACTCCGGATCCCGCAATTGCACACGGCCGTCGGATCGTGGCCCTCGAAACCCACTTCCGAGACAGCCGCGGAAAACCCTCCGCTTATTGATGAGGACACGGGGGCTGCCGACGCGCCCCCCCGAGCGCTGGGCCCTTGACCCCCCCCGGAGTCTCTCGACTGCTCCGACCTGTTCTCCATCTTCCGTGTGCCGGTCGCCGCTTCCCCCTGGTTAGCTTCTCTTCTCCCCGGCTTAACTCCTGTTAACCCCGGGTTAGCTTCTCTTCTCCCCGGGTTGGCGGTACTCGCCGCCCCTGTCAGCAACTGCAGAAACGTCGCAGCTTCGCGCAACTTCTTATGCTGCTGTTGCAGCCGGAGCACTTTCCGGGGGGACAATTTGCCTGGACCCTCATCCCCCCTTCCGAACTCCCTCCCCTGCTCCCCTAAAAGTGCCTGGATATGCTCGGTTAAAAGCGCTATCAATTCTGCGTCGGGGCCGTCGGCATCCATTCTGGCGGCGGGGGTTAGGGAAAGACCGGACTCCCTAACCGGCGGGTAACCCCAGAAACAAAGTTGACTCAGTACACCCCTTTGTATTGCTGTTTCTGGGGCCAATGAGTCGCCTGGAAGACTCCCCCAAGGACAAAGCTGGGCCGTTCCGCTCCCCAACTAGGGTCTCCCCGGAACCAAATCCTTCCAATTACGGACGGCTTGTGTTGCTGCGTAGCCCCGCGTCAGGCGGCACCGGCAAACTGCCCGGAAACTGTCTCCGAAGGATATCCGAAACTATTGCACTAATCCTTTGCTATTCCGGGGGCTCCTGGCCCCCTTGGAGTTGCCCCCCTGAGGCGTCACGTTGCGGACTTCTTCTGCTTTGCAGCTTCGCTTTCCCCCGCGTCAGAAATCTGTCCGTCCTGATCCCCTGTGCCCTGTTGTTCCGGGGGGGTCCTAAACCCCTTGGATGTACCTTCTGACCCGAAACCGACCCGCTTTGCCCTGCAGCTTCACTTGCCCCCCCGTCAGAAAACCGTCCGTCCTGATCGCCCGTGCCCTGCTGTTCCAGGGGGGTCCTGAACCCCTTGAAAGTACCCCCTGCGCCAGAGCCGACCCGCTTTGCCCTGCAGCTTCGCTTTCCCCCCGGGTTAGAGAACCGTCCGTCCTGATCTCCCGCGCCCTGCTGTTCCACAGGGGGTCCTGAACCCCTTGGAAGTACCCCCTGAGCCGAAACCGACCCGCTTTCGCTTTCCCCCCCCGGTTAGAGAACCGTCCGTCCTGATCCTCGGTTCAGAAAGCCCTGGTACCTGGTATATTCCTGGCGTAATAAGCGTGATCTGCCCACAATCCTCGTTGATCTGGTCCGTCCATTTGTAGCCCTGAAGTAAGGGGGGACTACACACGATCAGTGGTCACGTCTAGATACCCCTGTTCGTGCCTACCAATTTAGAACCGCTCCCGTTTTGAAGCTTCCATGGGGCAGTTTGGGCTTGGGAGAAAGTCGGGTAGATTGCCTCCATAGCAGATTGCGGCACTGCTGGGAGAATGGAAAGTCAAAACGATTGTCAGCTCTCCAGCAAACTTGCGAGGAACATTTGACTGCTGGCAGAGTGGCGTTTATTGAAAGCATAGAGACTCTACGCAGGGAACTTCTTATTGGATTTGGGCTAAGAGGTAGAGGAAGGCGATCAGCCATCTGTTGTGAAGGCCGTTTAAAATCCACTTAAAAGTCATATGTTTCCTCTGAAGAGTCTTTTGGTCCCTTTGGTCAGGAATGATGCAACCGTCTAAACCGCACTTGCTTGACTACTGCAGCTGCCTTTTTCGTCGGTGACAGGACCTCTCTTCCACAAGGGAATGCACTTAGTGCAAACAACTCAAATCCATGGACTTGTTGATGTTGCCAGATGTCTCAGGCGGTCAAAAAGAATGCTGAACTCAGCATTGGAAATCTCCGCAGAGCTTAGCGACCAAAAGTATCACAAGGACAATGCACTTTCCAGTACGGGACAAACAATCAGCATTCCCTGCAGGTCTGCCAAGAGTTTTGTTTGTCTTCCCTGAGACTACCTTCAACAATCAGCCATCAACCCAGCAATCTGAACATACATAGCCTTGTTGATGAAACAAAATCGGAAGCCCTCTCAAAAGCAGAGCAGAAGAATACAAATCTAAGCACGCCAACGAGGGGAAGAAATCGGCTGCACCTCAGATATCCTGGTGCGCTGCGCAGTCACATCATCAGTCACATGTCAAGATCGACGCTGCTGGGCGCGGCACCGGGCTCCCTGCATGAAGGAAAAATAAAGATCAGATGACGAAAGATAATTTCAAAATGCTGAAAGAAATGACACTAGAATCCCCAAAATATGTTTGTGTCCAGCGGGCGGGGATTCTTGGAGCTCCATCTGGCTGTCTCTTTCGTGCTGACACAAGCTGTTACGAATCAGGTTCTTGTTCCCAGTACAGCAGAATGTCTGACCCAGCGAGAGTATCAGGCACCAGGGGTTTTGGGACACAGAAGAGACTACCCTTCAGTGTTAGCGATGATGATTCTGAATACATCAACAACTTCAGTCCGGTCATGTTGTGTTCATCACTGAAAAACATCTGGTGTTCAAAATATACCTTCAGATCGACGGTGACAGCTCAAAACGGTTGTCCCTTGATCGATCTTGTCCACCAAAATATTATTAAGTGCCTTAAAAGGGGCATCAACAATGTGACTGATCAGGGAACCATAATACGCACTTGATGAAAGCTGTTCTCAAGGGGCGTCGGACAATATGCACTCATTTCGGCAACCTCAGTGTAGTCTTTATCTGTACGGTACTAAGTTCTGAAAGTTCCTAGTCCAAAAGGATCCAACAATGTGCACAGATAGTAAAACCATAGTACAGCCTTGATCTGGAAAGACCTTCCTAAAAGTCTGATTTTGCATGCTTCGCAGGCCAATGAGCAATCTCGCATGTAAGGAATTTCAGAGGCGGGAGGAAAAGCTGTTGGGGGAATCCCTGATGGATGTAGAATCAGAATGCTGCGAAAGATTACCCCAGAAAGCTATATGCGAGCTTTATTTACTCCCTCTTTGGAAAGATCAAATGCAATGAATGGTACAGCACGAACATCGTCAGCAGATACAAAAGCCCCACCAACCTGTGCTTTTTCTAAACAATCAGCGTGCCTAAAATGTGACTATGCATTACATCCATAGAATTTTTGATTTGATTGGCTGAAGGACGTTGCACGAAAGCTGCATTACGATCTGTACATCTCTCACTTGCATTGCTGTAGAATAACCGGCAGATCGAGTTTTTTGCAACTGCTCAAGATGTGCAATGATGAGAAACACAATCGTGCCTGGGACAAGCTTTCATCTTCAAAAGGTTATTGAAAGGCATTTCTCATTCAACTTCAAGAGGGTTGATGAGGAGGATTTCTCTTGCTACAAGTTCAACGGAGGAGCAATCACAAAAGTAGGCCCAGTCAATTTCCTCTTGCTTTCAACTCCAAAAGTTCAATCTAGAAAGTCCATTGCTCTGCAATTGCAAAAGTCCACATCTCCTCAAATGCTAATGTTTGATCTGGATGGATGGTCCGTTGCTTTGCAGTCATCGTGAACATTTCAGGTCATCTGGTATTCTCAAAACGCCACCAATCTGTGCATCTCTAATCGCACTTGTATCTCGGGTGGTTGACGCTTACCTTGGAAAATATGGTGCATCCGCAAGCCTTAAAAGGCGCGTGGCGGCGTTGATGACAAAAGGCTTTGAACGTGTATGAAAAAGTATAGATGTCCCTGCTTCTTGGTATCTATCCACACGGAACGTTCACCTCCCCTTGCTGCATTCTGCATGCTGACAAACCAAGAGCTGGAACATGTTGGAGCGCCCTCTTGATAAGCGGCTACCTCTGCAGAGGACATCCTGCTTTAGGTAATTCATCTGGATTAGAAAGAAGGTGCCAGAACTTGAAGGCAACCATTCAAATTTCAGAGAGCTTGAAATCAAACTTTGAAGCAGTCCGAAC